CATTTATCCGGAATAAACAGCTCAGGATAGGTTTGGAGACAAATCCTCTCTCATCAGTCTAAGTGAAATATTTGTCTTAAACAACATTTTCAATTAAATATTTTTATTAAACTAAAGCAATTTCCTCAAAAACTTTGTTGAGGGAAAGCTGCTTATTCTTAATTCTGTGTAAAATTTCCAAATGAAGCCTTGCAAAAGAGATTTTGAGTACCTGATTCTCAAAATCTAGGAAATATTTTATCTGGCAGCAGTAAAGGTTGTTTCCTAACTCACATCTGGCATTGCAAACCAACTTTTTGTGTAGGTACTTTTTATATGTCCGTACCCAAATCAGTTGGGAGAGGTTTATGAACTCAGAAAATATACTATATTTCATGTCTAAAAAGTTACCATAGAGTTTATATAGCAAACATTTATTTCTTAATTAATGAATTCACAATGAAGGCAACTCCATGGATATTTCTAGTCTCCTGCCAAAAGGGGCCATATAATGCTAAAGAAAATGGGGACAACTTTACCTTGCACAGTTAAGTAGGTGGTTCTACTGAAAAAACCATGTGAAAATGCATTGAAGATGCATTTATAATCTCCTTCATCCTGTAGTGTCACATTACAGAGAGTGATGGATGATGCATTCAGACTTGTATCAGTAAATAGGACTCTGTTCTGAAATAGTCCCATGGATTTAGGTCTGTGTCTCTTGCTGCTGGTGGCTATGTTCTGGAATAAAGAACCTTTCCTCTTCTGCCAGGTTATTTGTAGAATATCTAGAGGAAGGGTGAAGTTACAGCTCAGGGTCACATTTTCACCAATGGCTATTGCAGGAACCATTTCACACTGCACTGCTTCTTTAAAACCTGGAAACAAGCCCAAATCAAGGATCAGAGAAAGAGAAAATGGATATATTAAGACATCATAGAAATATTTGAATTAGTTGACAATACCACAAAAAATGACATTTTTGCAGCTTGTGGTCAATGACACACACCCTTCTCTATAATCTCCTGCACAATTAATTTTTCGGTCCTCAGTAAAGCAGAACATGTATGAAGCCGAGAGATGAGAAACTGGTTAGTGGTCTGGGAGGGATTTTGATACTGCCTCTCTTTCTTTCAAATAGGCATCCGAGTAGACACCCTTGTCTGCTGGACTGCTCTAGTTCATTAGGTGAGCACAGAAGGAAGTTTGTACTTTAAGGGCTAGAAAGTTTAATGTTACAAGAGTATCGCTATTGGAGCCTTTCTGGGAGTGACTCAGCCCTCCTGCAATGGGCCAAGCACCTGCTTAGTTACCTGCCATGCCTTGATCTTATTTGATTAATAGATTGTTGCAATCAGTGGGAGGCTGCCCATTTTATGCGCCCTGGTGACAGGGGGCGCTTCCTGCAGCTCCTTTCCTCCCCTACACCGCAGCCCACGCCTCGCAGATGGTGCTGACGTGGTTTGACCTGGGCCCTGTTATGTCTTGGCCCTCCTCTTTACTCCTGGGGCTCCTCACTGCCCCCTCCTGCTCTGGGACTGGGGTCAATGCACCCCTAAAACGATGTGCCCTCTCTGGCGCCAGGGTCCCCACGCTACCATGGAGTTCCTATGAGGCCTCCTCCAACCCCTAATAGCCTCACCTGGTCCTCTGGTCAAAACAGTGAACATAAGAAGACAAAGCCCCTGGGCTACAACATAAAAGCTAGACCATCTGGTCAAACAAGATTCAATCCCTACTAGAGAGAGAGGGAGAGAGAGAGGGAGAGGTCCCCAACCCCAGCAGCAACCAGGGAATGTTCACACTGTCAGAGTTCTCCCCTTCGTCTGTCCTAGCCGAGTTCCTACTCCCACGGCCGCCGGAGAGGAACTGCCCTCCTAGCCTCCTGCCTGGGCTTAAGAAGGGCTAAGGCCTGCCCCTTCCTGTCAGCTGGTTTTACTGGTTGCCCCAGCAACCAGCATCTGCGCAGCCCTGGTGACTGGCAGCTGAGCCTCCCCCTTCCTACCACTAGGGGTCTCTCCTGAGCCGTCTCCGCTTTCAGGCGCAGGGCACCTGAGTGCTCTGCGACAGTTGAATTTCATGTTTTTTATTGAAAAAGTGAGAAAGTGCAGATGATAATTGCATTGTGCCAAGCTATGACTACTGGCCTTTCTTTCACGGTTTCCCACACTCTAATAGTCAATGTACCCCACACTCTAATAGTCAGTCATTCCTCTTGTTATTGATCAAAAATGTTCTAACAGAACAGGGCAACTCCTCTCAGTTGATGTGCCTTATTTGCTGCCCTTTCTGGGACCGAATCTACCAGTGATCCCAGTCACATACTTGCAATACAAATAGGAGGATACAAGGGAAACCACTTACCTGTAACTTCAATCCAAAGCAGGCAGATATTACAAAGAAGAGACACAGAGCTTAAAGTACCCATCTGTCTGCAAACTCATCATATGGAACATTTTAACTTTCCTTTCCTGCAAGGAATCTGCAAGGAACGTCACTGTCAATGAGATGGAGTAGAGAAAATTGGTGCCTTTTTCCGTATTGTTTAGTACCGACCAATCAGGAGAGACATGACTTTGAAAACACTTGCAACATTATATCCTGTATTATGTCACGTGAAGGGCTGTGGCAGGGAGCCTTCTTGTACTTTCCTTCCTTCCTGTACTTTGTAACTGAAGCCAACTGTCACCAGAGGAGCTGGAATAATTAATCATTAACCATTAATCAAACTACGTAAAGCAACACAGCAAACTGGCTATCATCCAAATGTGATCCCTATCCCCTTTCACTTCTGAACAACAAACATTGTACATGTTTTCCCAGACAAAATAACCCCAAACCACATCCATAATCAGCCTTTCCTCTCCTGCTATGTCGATAACCTTCCCAAAGGTGACAAAGTAAAGGGCCAGGTGTCCGTGGACAACTAACTTAATGGAAACAACTTGCAGGTACAGCCCTTGATTCATTCCCAACTGCCCAATCTCCTGGCTTCCTTCTAAAGCTGGAAAAGCTGCTCTGTCAAATATTCTTAATTGGGTTAGAAAACACTCATTCATTGGAAGCTAAACACACTTCAGACAGAAAAATGGCAAGCCAAAGCACTTCAGTTTTGGGGGGAGGGTGGGTTCAAAGTGTCTTTCTTATTTGAAACTTTATTTATTGTTGTTTCATATTGTACTATATAGCTTAGGGCTTCTATAGAAGAAAGTACTAGTCCCATGTACTTTCGGCCAGTATTTCTTAATAGACATAGTTTGATTTACTGCACTAGCTCCCTTTTTGAAGGGCTCTTGGCTGGAGTCTTCTCAGGAGTCTTGGTTGCAGGTTTTTCTGGAGTCTTGTCTGCTTTTTTAAAGAAAGTGTCCAAGGAAGTTTGGACAGATGTTCTCCAGGGAGATGAGTGATGCAGCGAGCTTGTTCGCTGG